AGTTTCCAGGCGAGCGGGTCGCATTCCGCTCGGGGGCCGTCTGATTTATGTATTTTTTTGCAGGGAGCCGCTCGTTTGTGCGTATTCATCCGGAGGGGCACGGCGGGGGGGCGGGGGGAGAAAAGCATTGTTGAAAGTCTCGGACTGGTGATTCACTGACCACCAAGCTGGCGACGCGAAGTCAATTAGCTGGGTAAAACCTGGATGGCCCTGGAACCGGGCATCCCCTCACGAAGCCAGTGCTGCACTTTATTTTAAATTTTTTTTTTTTTTTTAAATAATTCCACACACACACCCCGGGCGAACGGCAGCGTGCCCACTACGCCCGGACAGCTGTTTTTTCTCCCGGTAGCTCCCAAGCAGCAGCGTGCGTCGCGGCGTGCCTTTAAGGAGCCGGAGCCCGTGTGTACGCGATGGGGTTGAACCGGCGTCGGGGCAGGCTGCTGGGTTTTTAGGAGCCGTGGCAGCCAAAATGCCCGCGTTAAATAGCTAAGGAGGGTGATGTTTCAGCTGTGTTGTTTTGCTTGCAGATCAGCAAAAAACCACAGTGATTGAAAACGGTGAAATCAGATTCAATGGAAAAGGGAAAAAGATTCGGAAGCCTCGAACCATTTACTCTAGTCTACAACTCCAGGCTTTAAATCATCGCTTTCAGCAGACTCAGTACCTGGCACTTCCAGAGAGAGCTGAACTGGCAGCTTCATTAGGACTTACCCAGACACAGGTAATTACTGGGAATCCCAAACCACTGAAATCCTGCGCGAGCAATAAAGGCCAAGCAAAGTACGATGCTCCCTAGACGTTTTGGCCTCTGTACGGGAACGGTAGAAAAGGTAACGCACACCGTCCCCCGTCTATATGTGATAGAACTTATCTAATGCACGACAGAGAGACCGCCCTACCGCAGAAGGAGCTGAATGCGCCCTTCCCTCAGCCGTCTGGCGAGCAAGCGCTCCCTTTCGATGCCACACGTAACATTTTAAAATTGCCTATGTTTTCGGATAATCCCAGCACCGAGATGCAATTGCCTAGCTGTGAAAAGGAGAACAAAACAAAGGCAAAGAATCGCTGGGCCTGAGGTAGGGCTGAAAGCAAAGCAAAGCTGCCTCGTAGCAACCTATAGGTAGAGAGGAAGCAGGGACACGCTAGGAAATACCTGTAAAATCAATAGTTAATTCATCCTGGATGACTAACGCAAGTGCAGTGGTTACCCTTGGGCAAAATGTACGAAAGGTGATAATAGATCTGAAGATCAAAGACAGCCGTGTACAAAATTATAGCAGGTTAAGCCATAGTTAAGTGTGGTTGGAGTAGCTGTGCCATTCTGCTAATTTAAGCTTGAAAGACACATGAGGCATTACAGGCTTCCCAGGCTGGGGTTTGGGGAGAAGTGCACGGATAGATGGGATCAATTCGGGTAAAATGTAATCAGGCGAATTTATGAGCTTAACAAATAACTTCAGGATTTTATCATTGTCATTGATAACAGTCGCTTCCAGCCAGCGATTTTTAAATACTCAGCAAACATTAATCATGGGAATAGACCCGATGGCTTTGCAAATGGGATTTTGGTATCCTTCGCATGCATGCTCTGTCTCTCTGCTGTCTCGCTTTCTCTCTCGCGCGCGTAGATTTAGGGGCCCGATCCCGAGCATGCAGGTAGACAAGCACTCCTGCTTATGCCCTAACATTACGTCTGCAAAGTTTGCAAGGTCAAATACACGTGTGGGAATTGTTTTCTTTGTTTGTTTGATTTTAAGAAATATGTGTGTATATATGTCTTACATATACATAATTTCTATAATAATTCTGATCTGCCAGAGCGGGCCCGATCCTTGCACACCTCATCGAGCGCAGGCTCCCTCCTCGGGAGTTCTGCTGTATTAGGAGCAGGATGAGACCCCGAGCAATCTTGGTAGCCAATTACTCGCCGAGAGAAGAGAATGTTCCTTTCTTTAAAAACAGCTTTTAAAATAAAGCCACAATCCCCGTTCCATTGTGCCTCCTCCCCCGTCACATCAGCAAGGACCGCTTGATCGTGCGTGTTTTCGGATGCGCGATTTCTTTGTAAGATGCCCTTTGTCTATTGGCTCCTGTCTCCTGGCACAAAATCAGATGATTGCCCGCGTTTGACAACAGTTTGCCCAAACGATCAAATGACCTCCAAAATTCTGAATGAGGCGTTAAAGCAGGAGAGCTCAGAGCACGTACTCTGTTTCAGCTCGATCAATCTGGCCTGCCCAGGGAAAATAACGTGCCGGGGTAAAACCTGCATCCCTCTCGCTTTCCAGCTCCGCTCTGCCTCTCCTGTTCTCTCCAGCTGCATCCAGAGCCCGAGAGCAGCAGTAGCTACCCCTCCTTCCCCTCTCCCCATCCCCAGCTCCACACCCGACTGGCCTGGGCTCTCAAGACCTTCTCTAGAGCAAACCCACGGCCCCCGGGGTCTCCCCTGCCGGGACCTGGGTGCTGACGGCAGCCTAATATCTGCTGCGTTTCGGTTCACAGGTGAAGATCTGGTTTCAGAACAAACGCTCCAAATTCAAGAAGCTGCTGAAGCAGGGCAGCAACCCCCACGAGAGCGACCCTCTGCCCGGCTCCGCCGCCCTCTCCCCTCGCTCTCCGGCTCTGCCTCCAGTCTGGGACGTTTCAGCTTCTGCCAAGGGAGTCAATATGCCTCCCAACAGCTACATGCCTGGCTATTCTCACTGGTATTCTTCTCCACATCAAGACACAATGCAGAGACCACAAATGATGTGAATTGTCCAAGAGAAATAATCTCCCGAGAACGCCTCGTCTCGACATGGCAAAAAGTTCCCCTGCTTTGCCAAGCCGTGCCAGCTAACAGGCTCTGTGTGAACTTGTAGATGCGGCAAAGAGACAGAGTGGCTTTATTTTATTTTATTTTTTTTTTAAGTAACCTCAGCGATTGATCTTGAACAGAAAGACACAATTTTCATTCTGGCGCACAGAAGACACTTCTCTTTAGGATATTTTCCTTTGGACTCCAAGGCACCAGCCTCTTTCTCTGTGGAGTGTACGTCAAAACAAACTTTTTACAGACTTTGCCCACAAGAAGAACCTGAATCTACCATGGCAGCCGTTTTTACTTGTTTAATGAGCTAAAGACATTACATGATGAAAGAGAGACTAGTCAAAGCTCCTTCATTTTTATTCACCAAATCCGGACTGGGGAAAAAAATTAAAAGAGAGAAGAAGGGATTAAAAGAAAAAAAAGACGAGGGGAAAAAAGGAGAACTGGTTGAAAAATGAAAATATACTGTAAGATTAGAACATTACCACGAGGCAAAACCTGCATGCTTTCTCAAAATACGATGGGCTGCGGCTCAGAAGAAACCACCGTCTCTCCCGCGAAGAGCCCCCTCACCCGCACACACCCGCACACAGCCGGACAGACTCCCGGAGACGAGCAGGAAAGACAGCGCGAGGGATCCGCGGCAGCGCCCGCCGCCGCGGTCTGGGGAAGGAAGGTTCAGCGCTGCCTGACGGCAGTCTCACCCGCTGAGCGAGAGGGACCTTTCCCCCGAGCAACCTTTCTGTATATATTGTTGAATTTTAGTTGTATATATACTTTGTATGTTTTTGTCTTCTTTTTTATATAGAGTAAAAGCCACAAAACGCCCGCCTGGCTCCTATTTCTCTCCGCCTTAGCGGATCCCCACCTCCCCCGACCTGCCCCCCGAGTTCAGCCCAGGCAGCTGGACGCTGTCCCCCCGCTTGCCTGCACGCACAGACACGGCTACCTGAACATACATCTGCGAGCAAAGACAGAAATGGTGGTTTGGTTATTTTTAAGGCTACGACTAAGACAGGAGATATCGAGACCGCAAAGATAAGCCTAGAAGAAGTTTCTAATCACCCGGCCATTTCTGCTGCGATTTCACTGCTCCGCTGCTCAGCTGAGCTGAGCTTTCTCGCCGAGGCAAAGCTCAGAGCCCTGCCTTTCTTCCCAAAGGTTGGAGACTCCAAATTGTTAAGAAAGGAGGCGCCCTCCTTTGTTTTTAAAGAGCAGACAATGCAAGCTGAGGAATGTTTTGCAAAGCCCTGAGAGGTGCCCGGGCACACAACACGCTGTCCAGCCAGCTCCAGCCTCACCAGCTTGTGGAAAGCACAGCAACTACTGCAAATGAAAAGCCCTTTCCTCATCCAAGCTGGGTGCCCCATACTGCGAGAACTAATGGCTAGAGACCTGGGCATCCTTCAAATTATGAACCTTGAAACCACTGAGCCATTTATCAGAAGTCAATAGAGATCCTCAGAGTGCTCCATATAATGACAGCTACATACAGTCGTGCAAAAGGACAGTCACTATAATTAGACACAAAGCAAAGACTACTTACCAATATACCAGTTTTTTGGGGGGTGTTTTTTTGTTTTTTTTTGAGCAACTTCCACGCTCAGTCAGTCTTCAGAGTGGTTTAAAACCGATCAGTCTTGTCATTTTCTACCATTCGTATTGTTACATTAGGAAAAATGTTTTCTTTTCTTTTTTTCCCCTTCCCACTGTGAAACTTTGGGTTCAGAGCTCCCCAGGATCAATTCTGAACAAAGCCTCCAGCTGCAGTGCCATCCAATTTGAAGCAGACATTGGGGACAATTTAAGGTTTTTATCCACAAGAAGGTTTTTTTCCATTCTCTTAAATGCAGCCATAATTAGAGTAATTTTTCATGTAGCCCGCTGATTACAGCGTTTTTACCGTCAAAGATAATTACCTGTAATTTTCTTCCACTTTTAATACTAAAAAGCCATCTTTATTTAGATTCAGGAACAGGAAAGGCGAAACAAAAGAGGAAAATTATTCTGTTATTCATACACAAATTGCAGAGACGTAGGGCCTAAAATTGAAAATTAACCAAAATTATAATGCTGAAAAGAATGGAAGAGGCTTCAGAAGTACAGCTGGTAGTGGGGCTCACTGAATTATTCAAATGACACTGGAGAGAAAGCTACCATACACTTAAACCAACAGCATTTGTGTCTGTGTGTGTGTGTGTGAGTGTGTGCATCTTCCAGAAAACCCCGCTTTGCACCCCCCCAGGCCGGCCCCTGCGCCCAAAATTATAATGCTGAAAAGAATGGAAGAGGCTTCAGAAGTACAGCTGGTAGTGGGGCTCACTGAATTATTCAAATGACACTGGAGAGAAAGCTACCATACACTTAAACCAACAGCATTTGTGTCTGTGTGTGTGTGTGTGAGTGTGTGCATCTTCCAGAAAACCCCGCTTTGCACCCCCCCAGGCCGGCCCCTGCGCCGGCTCACCCTCGCGCC